CGGGGCTGGGCGCTGTGACCTTGGCGGCGACCGCCGGTCCTGCTGCACCTCGGTCTCCTGCTCTGGAGAACAGGGGAACTGAAGAGCTGGCCGCACGGAGAGGCGCTGCCCGCCCCTGCCCCAGGGCCTTTGCACTCATCCGTCCTCCACTCCAGCCCCCAGGTTGGCTGGAGCCTGGGGTCATCTCGGGTCTGTCTGAGATGTCACCTGCGTGGCCACCTCCACTGAGGTGCTGCTGCTCCAGCTCCCTGCCAGGGTCACGCGTCCTGTGTCCCTCCCTAGAGGCACATCCCCAGTCGTAGGGGGAGGGTCCCAACTGGAACAAGCTCCTTGGGCGCAGAGGCCTGTGGGTCCTGGACCAGGAGGGGAAGACCCTGTTGAGTGAGGCCACCCACCCAGCCCTTGGCCTGGCAGGCGCGATCTCTCATTGTTGTCCCGGGGTATAACTTAGAAGTGCAAGGTGGGCCTCTGAGGTGAGTTCTGGGGCCCAGGTCACAGCCTGCCTCCCCTTTGTCTTCTGGGCCTTGGGCCCAAGGAGAACCCCTTGTTCTGGGATGGTCCTGTGTTAGGCTTGCAACCTGCACAACAGAAGTGGAGTTGCTCTTTGCAAGAGGGAGTTCGCTGTTGTTTACTGGGGAGTTGCTACTTGCAAAGAACAGTGTGTGCTGCTGCCCAGCTCTTAATGACCTTGTAAAAAATCATCATCTCCTCCTAATAGGCAGTTAAGGAAGAAGGGCAAGATCCTGACGAAGTTGGCATCGAGTTGGAAACCACATGCAGGAGGACAACCAAGAGATGTGTTAAAGGTAACCACTTGACCCTTGGCTGCTTGGAGCCCAGGAGTGGCTCTTGTACACTTCCTGCCCCGCAGGCTGGGAGGAGGACTTTGCTGGCCATCAACGTCCCCTCCAAGAACTAGGCTTGCTCTTCACTACCTGCTAAGTAGGTGCGCCAGGTGCACAGTGCCAGGTAAAGTTGAAATACACATTAAACCCAGCGCCTTGGGAGGCCATGGCAGGAGGAGCACTAGTTCAAGGTTAAGCTCAGCCACTCAGAGGCCCCAATCAACTGAATGAGACCCTGTCTCAAACAAATGAAAAGGGCAGTGTGGAGCTCGGTGGTAAAGCCCCCCACGACCCCCCTGCAGTCCCCAGTACAGGGCACACAGGGCTTGAAAAGAGCCCGGTGCAGCACGGCCTGGGCTGCCCTCCTGCTCTGAGCAACTCAGTGTGGCACTTGCTTGGCTCCCTTCCTTGTTGAAAAAGTAACAAACCAAGGAAAATAACACCAGCCCGAGACCAAATAGAGCCCTTCCTCCTGTCTAGGATCCAAAATAGATTGTTTGGGTATTTTACCCAGCTTATGTCTTACCAGTCTGTTTTTTCCAACAATTGAGATAGAATTCACAAATCTTGATTCCTAGGGTGTCCAGTTCAGGGGTTTTTATTGTGTTCACGAGATCATGCACTGACCACCACTGTCTTCATTCCAGAACATTTCCTTCCCCCAAAAGGAGACCCCAGCCCATTAGCCATCACTCTCCTGTCCCTGTCTGTCCAACCCCCACAACCAGGAGCCCCCATTGACTCTGGAGTCACCTGTTGCAGGTGTTCCATGTGAGTGGGCTCCAGTGGCCTTTCCTGCTAGCCCCCTTCATTTAGCTGCCTTTTTTTTTTTTTAAGGCCCAGCCATATGACACATCAGGACTTCATTCTTTTTTGTGGCTGGTACTGGTTATTTTCAAAAGCACTTAGTTTTAAATATTGAAACTCCAGAACTCTGGTTGTTCTAATTATTGTTCACATTAGATTTTACAGCGATGGGGACAATATGATCTGAGGCTTCTGTGTGATGACTTGTATTTCTTTTCATGGCACTGAGGGTTGAACCCTCGGGTGTAGTCCCACTGAGCTACATCTCCAACTCTTTTTACATCTTATTTTGAGAGACAGTCTTGCTAAGTTGCCTTGAACTTGTGATCGTCTTGCCTCAGCCTTCTGAGTGGCTGGAATTATAGGTGTGTGCAACCACATTTGGTGTTTTCTTATTTATTTTTTAATAAAAATTTGGGGAAGGGGCTGGGGTTGTGGCTCAGTGGTAGAGCGCTTGCCTAGCACGTGTGAGGCACTGCATTTGATCCTCGGCACCACATTAAAAAGAATAAATTTATTGTGTCCATCTACAATTAAAAATGTTTTTTAAAATCATGGGGTGGCATACCAGAGATTGATCCCAGGGGCGCTTAACCACTGAGACACATCCCCACCCTTTTTTTATTTTGAGACAGGGCCTTACTAAGTTGCTGAGGCTGGCTTTGAACTGCCCTTCTCCTACCTTAGCCTCCCAAGCCACTTAGGCATGGGCTACCATACCCAGATTGTTTATTTTTATTTGTGGTGCTGGGGACGGAACTTAGGGCCTATGCATGCTAGACAAGTGCTCCGCCACTGAACTACATCCCCAACTCCTAGAATTGTTTCTGGAAAGGTGCCATGTGAAAATTCTCACAGTTGGGCTTAGACTGTGGCTCAGGTAAAGCACTCGCCTACCATGTGTGAGGCACTGGGTTCTATCCTCAGCCTCATGTAAAAATAAAGATATTGTGTCGGGGCTGGGGATGTGGCTCAAGCGGTAGCGCGCTCGCCTAGTATGCGTGCGGCCCGGGTTCGATCCTCAGCAGCACCACATACCAACAAAGATGTTGTGTCCGCCAAGAACTAAGAAAAAATAAATAAATGTTAAAATTCTCTCTCTCTCTCTCTGTCCCCCTCTCTCTCACTCTCTCTTTAAAAAAAAAAAAAAAAGATATTGTGTCCACCTATAACTAAAAAAATCTCCCAGCCGTACACGCTCCATCCAGATGGTACTAAATTCAGGCAATGAAGGATAGTTGCTTAGAAAGTAAAAATATAATTAGCGTCATGTTTTTATATGATATATAGTATATGTTATGTTTTCTAAGATTTTTTTTTTATGTTTATCTTTAGTTTGTAGATGGACAATGAGTTTATTTATCTATTTACCTTAATGTGGTCCTGAGGATTGAGCCCAGTACCTCACATGTGCTAGGCGAGTGCTCTACCACTGAGCCCCAGCCCCAGCCCTAGTCCTCACTGTATTTCTTTGGCACTTTTTCAAAGAAGGACAACTTCTTCCTAAGACATACTAACCCATGTGTTTTAAGAGGTTAAAGTTTAAGTGAAAATTAACTTTGAAACATTGATGTATCTTTTTGTTCTTGTGTTAGCTTTTCTTTGCTGTGACCAAAATACTGGACACAAACAACTTAGAGGGGAAAAGTTTTATTTTGGCTTAAGGTTTTAAGTCCACTGTCTGCTGGCTCCATTGCCTTGGGCCAGAGGTCAGGCAGAGCATCATGGCAGAGCAAACCTCAACTCATGAGTGGGGGGCGGGGGGCTAGGGACAGGACACAGTCTCCCAGGACAATCCCCCAGTGACTTGCTTCCTCCAGCCATGCCTACATGCCTACTGCCTGCAGTTCCCACCTCTCAGGGTTCCTATACATCACTCAGCCCGAAGACTTGGTCATCCACCCTGGAGGTTAGAGCAACATGGTGCAGTTGGTTCCCAAAGCCTCATCTCTGGTCGTTACCTCATTGGGGACCAGGTCTTCACCACGTTTGGACCTTTCAGACCCTGACTTCAACACTGGATCGTCTTTGAGCTAGGGACACTGAATGGACTGGACTTTGAGA